CGCATCACCATCCGCACCACCTGCACAGGTGAGACACAGGTGAGACACAGGTGAGACACAGGTGAGACACAGGTGAGACACAGGTGAGACACAGGTGAGAGACAGGTGAGACACAGGTGAGACACAGGTGAGAGACAGGTGAGAGACAGGTGAGACACAGGTGAGACACAGGTGAGAGACAGGTGAGACACAGGTGAGAGACAGGTGAGACGCAGGTGAGATAAAGGTGAGACACAGGTGAGATACAGGTGAGAGACAGGTGATACACAGGTGAGACACAGGTGAGACACAGGTGAGACACAGGTGAGTCACAGGTGAGACACAGGCGAGACACAGGTGAGACACAGGTGAGTCACAGGTGAGACACAGGTGAGACACAGGTGAGACAGGTGAGACACAGGTGAGACGCAGGTGAGAGACAGGTGAGAGAAAGATAACACACAGATAACACACATGTGAGATACAGGTGAGACAGGTACAGACAGGTAAGGGACACCCCCAACCCCGCTGCTCCTCGTGGTGCCGCATCACCATCCGCACCACCTGCACAGGTGAGACACAGGTGAGACGCAGGTGAGACACAGGTGAGACGCAGGTGAGACACAGGTGAGAGACAGGGGAGACACAGGTGAGACACAGGTGAGACACAGGTGAGACAGGTGAGAGACAGGTGAGACACAGGTGAGACAGGTGAGAGACAGGTGAGACACAGGTGAGACACAGGTGAGATACAGGTGAGTCACAGGTGAGATAAAGGTGAGTCAGAGGTGAGAGACAGGTGAGATACAGGTGAGACACAGGTGAGGCACAGGTGAGGGACAGGTGAGAGGTGAGACACAAATGAGATAAAGGTGAACGACAAGTGAGACACAGGTGAGACTCAGGTGAGACACAGGTGAGAGACAGGTGAGAGACAGGTGAGAGACAGGTGAGACACAGGTGAGACACAGGTGAGACACAGGTGAGATAAAGGTGAGTCAGAGGTGAGAGACAGGTGAGAGACAGGTGAGGCACAGGTGAGGGACAGGTGAGAGGTGAGACACAAATGAGATAAAGGTGAACGACAAGTGAGACACAGGTGAGACTCAGGTGAGAGGTGAGACACAAGTGAGTCACAGGTGAGTCACAGGTGAGACACAGGTGAGTCACAGGTGAGTCACAGGTGAGTCACAGGTGAGACACAGGTGAGACAGGTGAGACACAGGTGAGTCACAGGTGAGTCACAGGTGAGACACAGGTGAGTCAGGTGTGCGGACACCACGTGGATGCTGCTTCTCCAAGTGACCAAACCCAAACCCATCCCAACCTGGCCCAGGTGTTCCCAGGTGTGCTCAGGTGTATCCAGGTGTCACCTGAGCTTCTCCAAACCCACCTGAGATGCCACCACAGGTGCTCCAGGTAACCCAAACCCACCAAAAAACCACCAAAAATCACCCAAATTTCACCCAAATTTCACCCGAATTCCACCGGAATTTCACCCAGGTGTTCCCAGGTGTTCCCAGGTGTCACCTGAGCTTCTCCAGGTGTCCCAGACCCCATCCAGGTGGCCCCACAGGTGCTCCAGGTAACCAAAACCCACCAAAAATCACCCAAAAACCCCCAAAAATCGTCCGAATTTCACCCAAATTTCACCCGAATTTCACTGGAATTTCACCCAGGTGTTCCCAGGTGTGCCCAGGTGTCACCTGAGCTTCTCCAGGTGTCCCAAACCCCATCCAGGTGGCCCCACAGGTGCTCCAGGTGACCCAAACCCACCAAAAATCACGCAAAAACCCCCAAAAATCACCCGAATTTCACCCAAATTTCACCCGAATTCCACCGGAATTTCTCCCAGGTGTTCCCAGGTGTTCCCAGGTGTCACCTGAGCATCTCCAGGTGTCCCAAACCCCATCCAGGTGGCCCCACAGGTGTTCCAGGTGACCCAAACCCACCAAAAATCACGCAAAAAACCCCAAAAATCGCCAAAAAATCGTCCGAATTTCACCCAAATTTCACCCAAATTTCACCCAAATTTCACCGGAATTTCACCCAGGTGTTCCCAGGTGTGCCCAGGTGTGCCCAGGTGCGTTACCTTCCTGGCCACGCCCCTTTTCCAGCGCCTCTCCTGGGCGAAGTCGGCTGCCAGCCACTGCATCTCCTCGCACAGGTAATCCCAGTGCACCTTGGGCCGCGCCGGCTCCGGAACCTTGGGCAGGCGCCGAAGGGACCAGAAACCCTCGCGCTTCATCTCGGCCACGCGGTGCTCCACCTCGGCCTCCTGCACAGGTGAGACAGGTGAGGGACAGGTGAGACAGGTGAGGGACAGGTGAGGGGTAAGAGAGCAAAAAAACCCCGAAAAAATCGGAAAAAAAAGCAAAATTTTATGATCAAAATAGGAAAAATTCGATTTATTTGATTCCAAAAGTACCTGGATACAGTTGTTATGGACAGGTGAGACACAGGTGAGACACAGGTGAGACACAGGTGAGACACAGGTGAGGGACAGGTGAGGGGTAAGAGAGCAAAAAAACCGCGAAAAAATCGGGAAAAAAAGCAAAATTTTATGGTGAAAATAGGAAAAAATTCATTTATTTGACTCTGAAAGCACCTGGATTGAGTTCTAAGGACAGGTGAGACACAGGTGAGACACAGGTGAGACACAGGTGAGACAGGTGAGGGACAGGTGAGGGACAGGTGAGCGGGAAGAAAGGCAAAAAACCCCGAAAAAATCGGAAAAAAAAGCAAAATTTTATGGCGAAAATAGGAAAAATTCGATTTATTTGACTCTAAAAGTACCTGGATACAGTTGTTATGGACAGGTGAGAACAGGTGAGACACAGGTGAGACACAGGTGAGACACAGGTGAGAGACAGGTGAGACACAGGTGAGACACAGGTGAGGGAGCACAAAGCAAAAAAAACCCCAAAAAATCGGAAAAAAACCCCAAAATTTTATGGTGAAAACGGGAAAAATCAGAATTATTTTAGCACCAAAGGACCCGGATTCAGGTGTTCAGGTGCTCCACCTCGGCCTCCTGCACAGGTGAGACACGGCAGGGACAGGTGAGACAGGTGAGGGACAGGTGAGGGACAGGTGAGGGGGGAGAAAGGCAAAAAACCCCGAAAAAATTGGAAAAAAAAGCAAAATTTTATGGCAAAAATGGGAAAAAATTCATTTATTTGACTCTGAAAGCACCTGGATTGAGTTCTAAGGACAGGTGAGACACAGGTGAGATACAGGTGAGAGATAGGTGAGAGACAGGTGAGAGACAGGTGAGACACAGGTGAGACAGGTGAGGGACA